ATGGATGATTGCGGTCTCGTCGGACGAGCTGGCCCCTCGCTCTCTAGCTGCTGTGTATACGTTATTATTATGCACACCTACTGCGAGATGTTGTTCCAATGCAATTCGCCGCCGACTCTCTCACGGCGTCACTTGTTGGCTTTATTTTTTTCTCTCGAATTCATTGCATTTTTTTGTTTTCTCATAAAGTTTATTATTTTCATTACTTAATTTTAATTAGTGAAAACAATCGCGGTGCTTGTTTTGCAGTTTCGTCAATTTTAATTAAATGTCGACTCTTATGTGTTAATCGAAACTAATTTATAAAATCACTTGTTTGTCTTTGTACGTGCTTTCAGAGTGTTTTCAAAGTCAAAGAGACAACAATTCCGTAACCAGTCGTGGAGCCTTGCTTACGTTGATCAATCGAATAACACTCATTTTAATCGTTACTGCTGTATAACGCTGAGAAATAAACATATTTCGCGCAAAAAAAATCATTCACGTTAGTATGGCGTAGTTATTTAATGCGAATGAGGTCAGTGTATTTCAATTCATTTGCTCATTATGTACGGACACATAGTCCTTTTACACATAATTTACAAACATCAAGAATACCTCAAACGTATAGGAACTGATCGATACTCGAAGCTATAGATGTGCTGCCAAGGCCACGACTGTCACCCTATACCGTCTGCCTGATTCGGATGAGCATGAAACGATAGAAATCCCGCATGTATGTATACCAATTTTTCGATTTTCCCCATTTGTACAGCAAAGAAAGCAACGCGCCACCAAGCGACACGTTTTTCTCCTACACGCGCCGCGATTTCATCTCGATCCTTACCTCACCCTTCATTTTTCTTATGCTCGGTACATACGACAAAAATGCATTTTTCATTCCCGCGCGCACAACAGAGCACTGCACACAGCGCGAAAAATCCCGAGCCGTGTACCTCGGTAATACCATGCAAAGTGCATACATGCATGCGACGCACACACAAATATACTTCCAGATCGCGAGGGACGGAGAGAATGCCCCCTCCTCTCTTATACGGGGTAAAAGTAACGAGGAAGCGCACGTTCGACTGGAAAGCAAAGAGGGAAAAAAGGGAGAAAGAAAGAGTCCCACCGAGACCGTCACGTTTCACGCAAATGCTCCCCCCCCCTCCCCTTTTCTTTCTTTCGATACCGTACGTGTATCTGTTGGTACAACCGTGGTGGAGACAGTACACACACACACGAATGAACAAACACATAGCCCGACGAGAGAAGAATATGCGATTAAGCCGTTTCCGCGACGTTAGACGCTGCTCCTCCTCCTCCTCCTCCTCCACCTCCGCAGTGGCATCGGATCACCCTCCGACTTGGAACGATTCTGCGTTCTATAGCACGCGAGAGAGGAGCGCGCGGAGGAATAAGTTCTACTTATTCGTTGAATGCGATGGGCCGCGTCCCCCAAGGGTACGTGTAGTGGATGCACCTTTCGCTCCCTCTCGAATATACATATGTATATGTGTATATATATATATCCTCTGTGGTGTACGTGTAGCCGAGGAGTCGCTGCTGTATTTTCTACTCGTGGAAGGGGAAAACTGCAGTACAGCTTCTTCTTCGGGGTTGGAGGAGGAAGATAAAGGGAGATATCTCCTCGGTCGGATGTATTGTGTGTACCGTTGTTCACGTACACGTATATATGATATGTACACAATGCAAAGTTGGACGTGAATGTGGGAGTGGGGGAAAAAAGAAGAGGATGATTGGATGCACCGCGGAATTTATATCCGAATGAGCGAGCGACCTTATACCCCCTACACCCTACATTATATATCCTCTCTTCGCCGATTCGAATAAAACTCCGTCCGTCCCAAATGAAATTTCACGTGGTATTAGGAGGGAAGCTTTTTTTTTTCTGCTCGCTGGTTGTGCTCACTCCCCTCGGTGAAATTGCAATCCTCCGGAGCTGATGAAAAGTCGGAATTATTGGAATATAATGGTTGGTTTGATGCGGCGGAGATTTCATTTTATCTGGTGGGTTTAATTTATCGAAGATTGTGCGGTTAAACACATAACGGATCAATGTTTTCATGGGTAACAATACCAAAAGTGTGAAAGAAATGTCACTTCCAACCGAATAATAAAAAGAGGAATACGCACACCTACTGGAAATAGCGGAGGGATGGAAAAAAAAGGGAGATCAGGTGAGCCAAGCAAAAATGGGAAGAGATCCAATTGGCGAGGGGAAGAAATACGTACACGGGAGACGAAGGCGTCGCCGGCTGCCTTCGACGAGAGCGAGAGAAAAACAGAGGCGGAAGGGCTTTCTTCGAAGCTCCCCTCGACGATAGCTCTGTACGGTTTTTTCCTTTTTCCGTTACCGAGTGTATTCCACTCTCTGCCTTATTTTTTTTCTCCCCCCCCCCTGCTCGAGTCTAGTTCTTTACCTTCTCGGGTCAGGGAAGGGAGATGGATACCTATACACGCGGTGTAAAGAGGTTGGGAGCGGAAAATACAGGGTCTACGGTGTACGGTATACATGGGTAAAGCCGAGGGTAAAGCACTGCGAAAGATAGGATGCAGAGGTATTGCAGACGGGAGCCAGTGACACGGACGATCCGATGGGAAATCTCATTGTAGCCTATTTTTTAGATACCTTTCAGTATCCATATATATATATACCTAAGGCAGGGCAGGAGGATCTTCAAACCCTCGAAGCTTTTTTACATGGGCCATTTTACGAATAACTGCCCTTTTTCGTCCTACACACTGAGATAATTGAGTTGAAAAAAAATTAAAATTGAACATCTGTACTTAAAATTAATCATCCTGGACATTGAACTTGGAGATAATAACAATTCACCTGAGCTACGATAGATAATTACACGTCAAATTAAATTTCCACGGAGACACCATATATATACCCGTGGAAAAAAAAGCAATCATTACCGAATGAAAATCCCATTAGTCCCGAGGAATTAATCAACAACAGCGCTTGCATTAATAACGACGAGTCGACCCGAGGAGCTTAGCGAGAGGGGGTACAATAATACAATAATCCCCCCGTCCCCTCTGACATTTGCGTGGCGCAATCCCGGAGCTCTCCAAAAAATAAACAGATTTGAGGGTTGGGGAGGAGGGTGAAAGCTGTTTCAAAGCTGGAGGGAGAGAAGGCGAAGAAGCAGCCCGAGGAGTCAAAGGTGGAGAGAAAAGGAGCGGAGAAACTCCTCATGATCCTGCCAAGGATTTGCCGCACGTACATAGTCCCCGCGTCTACGTATAGTACGGATACCGTAGATCCGAGACTGGAGAGACGAGGGAAGTTTGAGCATCGGAGACGCGCTTCCTCCCTCCCTCCCTATCTCCTCATCAGTGTCAGCGCCAAGAAAGAGAACGCGAGGAGACGAGGTAATAGAGAACGAGCGAGCCAGGGGGAGTGGGAAGGAATGCTGATTAGTCGGTGCTCCTGCGCCGTAACATTATAACTTATCCAAGCGCGCGAGCGAGCGAGAGGGTAGTTATACATATATATATGCAGAGTCTGGGGAGAAGATTGCAAGAGAAGGAGAGAGATAGAGTCTCTCACTCGCACCGCTATCTGTCCTTATCAATTCCACTTCATGTTCCTCGGCAGGCCGGGCCGCCGCTGTTGGAAAGGATAAGAAGGGAGCCGAAGCGAGGGAGGAAGGAGAAAGAGAGCGGAAGACGATGCGGTGGGCTGAGGAAAGCCGGCGGCTTAATAGGGAGGAAATTGAGTGCTCGAGCAATATTGAAGGAGGATTCGGGGGTTCGCGGCGGCGGCAGCACCGGAATCGCAAGAGATCCCCTCCCTCCCTCTCTTTGGGGCAAGGAGCTCCGTTGACTGCAGACGTACGCTATATATATATATATAGACATAGAGAGACGGAGAAGCTATCCGTCCGCCGCTTTCGAATTCCTCGAGTGTGCACATCGGCTTCCTACACCACTACCATCACCACTGCCGCTGTGTACTCTCGTATACCTATTCGCTGTATGTGTCACTACTACCAGTTCGTGGTGCGATCAGTGGTTCTCAATCGTCGCGTCAAAAGTATATATATACCACGACTACTTGCGTTTCTCATCCCTTACTTGTCAGCTTTGCCGTCCCACTCTAGTTCGTCGTCCTCGTCTCAGTGATTCACGTATAGGAAGAGCGGCCGTAGTGACTTCACTGCGCTGTGTATAGGTGTACACAACATCCATTGGACCCAGGACTCCCAGGAGCGAGTTTATGTCGCGGGTGTGTGGTGTTGAAACAGCACCACTGAAGCTCCTTGTTTTAGCTAGTCTAGACGACGACATGACACCGCAGCAGCAGCAGCAGTAGTATACTACGTGGGAGCTACATCAGACGGGAATTATTGACTCTGTGGGGCGTAGTCGTCGTCGTCGGCGTTCTATTCAGCACGTGATTCGCCGATTGGCTTGAGCTTGACGAGCCGAGGAGGTGTCGACGCATAATAATAAACACGTGCACGTGCACACACGTGACTGTATAAATATGTACAGGCAGACACATCTGACGGAGGAAGATGGTTCCCTATACTAAATCAATGGGATGCTATTTATATCCCCCCCCCCCTTCGTCCTGTGTACACGATGTGCCCGGGGTTCAATCACGTTTCGCGAATTGTGTTTTGATTGAAAATTTTCCTTCGGACTCGCAGAGAGTATCATGTATTGGTACTTAAATATATGTATCGCATTTTAAACAGGTTCATCCGACTTTTGAGCTGTGTAATTTAAATTGCGAGTCATTTGTTTGTACATGATTAAGTTTAGTTTGACGAAAAGTCATAATTTTTCTACGTTACGATTATCAGACAGAGCAAAAAAGTCAAAGGGAAATCGAGACACATGTAAAAAAAAAAAAAAAAAAAAATATCCTTTATCTGATGAAAGTTTCGCGTTTTCATCATCATTACTCGCCTCGTTGTTTGCCAAAGGTGCTAATTATGTACGCTACAGTTGTATCGGGTAAAACAGTGATTAATACTCACTCCAATGATCGTGTTGAGCTCGGTCATGGTGACTTGCTTCGCCCTGTCGACTGCAGTGGCCACTTGTTGTTGATGGTCCTGCGAGAGGAACGGCAGAATTTGCGCGATGATGGCGTTCAGTCGCTTCGCTATTTCCGTCTGCAATCAAGAGAGAAACGTCGACAAATTAACCCTCGCTTCCTGCACCTGCCGCTACATCGACAGTGTATACCACTCGCCACTTTCTCTCGGGATCTCGCTTTCTGGGTACACTTGTATGGATGTAGAGGTGTGTGTGTGTGTTTTTTGATATACATATAATATGTGGGTTTAGTTCGTTCGCAATATGCTTGCAGGAGCACGGCGTGCGGCTTTAATCGACTTTACAGTTACGTGAGACGTAAAGTTCATTTAAAAGACTGCGTATAGGTAATGCATCACACTATAATCATTCAAGTTGTTTAAAATAAAGAGCATTTGTCTTTGGTAGTTTTCTCGAGTCACATCACAGCTAATGATCATTTTCCCTGCTCACTATCAAGGATTCATTACATATTTTACACGATATATTATCCACGGGGAAATTATTTGTTTTTTTACGATTGCAATGAATCGTGCAAAAGTATTGTTTTTTGCATATCATTACATCGAGTCAAGTTGCAAAAAAAATTTATTTCCGATGCAATTTTACATCGCCACTTCCCCAATTTGCTTGCACGTAACATTTTCAATGTTCGTATTTATAGCATGAAAAATAAAGAAGAGACCTGTTCCCTCCTCTTATGGGTTCCAACGGAAACATCGGTTGAAAAAAGAAACGGGGGTCACACGCCACCGGAGAGAACAGAATGGAAAAGACTTTTGTTACACCGTGCAGTGTTTATGCGCAAGGCAGACACGAAGCCAAGCCAACAACAACTGTACAACTTGGCTGACGTGAATTGAATTAAATTTGCGGCTCGCCTCGTTGCGGCTCAATCTTCGGAGCCGCGCCCATCCCGCCTATATACCCTTCCGTGCAAACGATCGTGAACACGCGACGCGAAACACCACCACTACCTCCCCTCCTCCCGGAAATTAAGTTTGATTGACCCACTATGAGGCACGGCTAATGTAAATATTTTGTCAGTCGCTCAAAACCGGAGAGATAATCACCCCCTATCGATCGAAAATTTCATGGCGGTCGCCCACCTGATTGGCGTTAATCGCGTTTGGGGGCTGTGTTATAATTCGCAACTGTGCGAATCGCGAATTTTTCCAGCCGTGGAAAATACAATATTCGCTCGAAGGGATAACGCGTTACGAGGGGGTTACCGATACTCATCACGGAGCTGTGCATGTTTATATAGCTACGAGGATCTGGAGCCGATGAATCGGAACGTGATTGGATTGGACTCACTGGACGGAATGTGTATGTACGTGAGCTGGCGATGTGTATACAGAAATCGATTAGTGGAAATCGCACTGGTTGTATGTGTACAGTATGAGTTTTCGCAATCGTAAACCTTGGCGTTCCCATGGCCATTAATTAGCTATTGGGTACAAAAACTCGGTCACTCTATACCTAGCGGTATAGCGCCCGAAAATTATACGGTACTTTTTTTTTTTTTTCGACCAGTTGCACCATACTATCGGGTAATGCGAGCGAAAATAAAACGTAAAATCATAATTAAGACGGCAACGAGCTCGCTCGGCTGAGTGAAAACTCGTCTTTCGACTCCGACACGCTGTGGATCCAGATTTTACCCGACTCGAGGAAAAACAAGAAGCTTGAGAGAGTATACAGGAAACACGCTCGATCAAACGAGATTTCAAAAGTTTCCAGGTGAATTCCGTAATATCCTGTGGACTGACGAAGGAAAAAAATCTCGCACGATCTTATGACGAAAAAAAGAAATAATTAAAACCAATGTCATTGTTAATGGTGTGGTAGAATCGTGTGCCAATTATTATTAGGTATGTTACCACTTCAGGAAAGAGAAACAACCGAAATGCCTAAGCTATCCGTTCTCAGTCATGTACCAAATTTTTGTGTCAACATTGCTCAACATTTACACTTCAATGATGCACACAAATTATCGGCTGTCAATGTAAAAAAAGTCCTTTAAAGTGAGTCATACGCACCTGACAAGTATACCGGGTATACTGCTCTTTTCGATCAACTTGGTGCTTGTACTTTTTTCATTTCCCGTCTTTATACTCGCACACACGGCGGTGGAAGCCATAACAGGTATAAAATACCCGATAACCGAGCGAGTATAGGATTAATCGGGCGCAGTTTAACCAGGAAGCAGTTTGCCGCCTCGCTCGCTCTGACAGGCCGCTGAACCGATGTTAATCTATTTGGCGCGTCGCCGCCACCACCCCATATAATACATATATATATACCCCACGCTAAGCGGTTTCTTCGTGTATTTACACGCACACCCTCCTTCATCAGACGCACATTTTATATATATACACCCCAAAGACGCGTGACTATATAACACGCGCAGCGTCAAGTATCGCGTCATACATACCGCAACAACGCCACCTTTCACTCGCTCCTGTATCGCTGGAAAATGAGGGAACGCCTCCCCATCGGCGCCCAGGCTCCATTACCAACGAGTTTGTTATTTATCGCCCCGAGACCCCATAATCCCGACGTTTATTAAACGAGAAAGTTCACGATGTGTCTTTTAATTTGACACGCGCTTTCCAATTACAGCCCGGCTCGAGCCAATGTACAGTGCTCTGCGAGTAAAGAAAACGAGGCTCGCGAAAGCTCGGTGGTTCAACCGTGTATATAGCCGAGGTCTATTGGCGAAATTAGGCGGTGCACGCGCAGATTTCAGCGGTCTCGCAACAAATTGGCACCCGTAACGCCGCGCCGATTTTATACATACAGTAGGTATCGCTCGCCCGATTGGCAGCGTGTATAATACCACATTCGCGACTCGCACGGGCTAATTGAAACATATGCAGTGCACGCGCGAGCGCTTGGGAATACTTGGCAAGTTTCCCTGAACAGCACCGGCTCCCCCGGGAGACTCGGGCCATCACCTACGTGTATGCAACGGGAAAGGAAAGCGGGCTGTGTATAACGTGTGGCGATAAATACGGACATGTGTTACCGTTCCATTGGCAATGGAAGGACTGAAAAAATAGTACCCAACGATGGACAAGGGCCCCCTTTCTTTCGATCGATCCTCGTGTACGCACCGAGTAGTGGCGAGGGGGGTCGGTGTATCCGCGGCTGCGAACTTTCCATCAGGCGGTGGGAATAATGGCGATCCATCTCCGCGGCGGGAGACCAGCCGAGCGACAAAATTGCTCTTTCATTCGGCATCGAAAAGCTAGTGCTCGAGGGAAAAAGAAAAACAAAACAAAAAAACAAAAAATAAAAAAAAGAGAAGTAGAAAGGAACGCGGGGAAGATACTCTGCACCCGATAGCGTCCAGAGACCATAAAAATTCAATGCTTCCAGAGGACGAAGAAGGGGAGATGGGAAAAAGGAAGGAAAAGGATGAGAGCCAGCAACTCGGAGTGACATCTTGGCGTATAAATTCCGTCGGGAGAAATATCCCGGGCTCTATTTCTATTTGCTTCTTCCTTTTTTCCTTTTTTTTCCTTTTTTTTTTCTTATTCGATCACGTGCAGCGCTTCCTGCATCTTCTCCTCGTTATATGCACCGCAGAGCGCAAAAAAAGAGTTGAAAAAAAAAAAAAAAAACCGCAAGACCAAAGTAGAAGTGGAAAAGGAGCAACCAGACCGGGGCATAAACAGCGAGTAGTATAGTCTCTCCTGCGTACTTGTCGAGAAGGAAGGAGAGAGAGGAAAACGGTAACGATATCGGGGAGCAGCGTGTAGTGACAGTACAGAGCAGGGATCGGAGGGGGGCGGAGGAGGAGCTCCCCGGAAAAGTTCGGCCATTTCGTTTAGTTCGCCGGAAAAGTCGGGCTGGCTGCTGTTGTATATAGATGGTGGTGGTGGTGGTGGTGATGGTAATGCCGCTATATCCAAACCCCTGACCCTCCACCCCTTCGCCTCGGTGCCATATCCACACGCTTCTTCTCTCTTTTAGCTCTCCCGCGTGCACTCTTGCTGATGCTCTCGAGTGGCCGCTGAATTGCGCTCTGAAAAGCCACCAGTGCCAGCAGCGGTACTCCTCTGCCCCTCGCTCCATCCCATTCATTATTTTCTTGGTTACCTCTCACCCGGGGAAAACTTCTCGGCAACGCAATTACGTAGCCCGTACTGCTGCTTCTGCACAGCGGTACCATCAGCTCGCTCTTTTCACCCTCGATTCGCTTGCCAGCTGTACCACCACCACCCGTCCTTTAGCCACGATTTCCCACACCGCACTTGCTCCTCTCTCTCTCTCTCTTTTTTTCCTTTATCTCTCCGCTCGCCCTCCTATCTCTCCACCACCGCTCATATTTACCCATCGCGTCATCCTCCTCTATCTTTTAGACATTTAATCACCCGTTCTCTCTCTCTTTCTTTTCCTTTGCCTCACCGCCCATCGCTGTGGGTACATCCTTCTCTGCATCGCTTGGCAATAACCCCGTCCCTCGCGTCCTTTTTCCAGCTGGTGGGTATAATATACATTTCTCTTCCATCGTCCCTCCCTCCCCAAAGCTCCCGGGGGGGTTTTCGCACTTTGCTCTTGCCCGTGGAGTTCCCGGGACGGAATTGGCGAATGGCTCGACTTGTTTTCGCGTACGTTATAATTAGTGGCTTAATGACTACCACTTGGAGGGCGACGGGTAATTAAAACAACAACTCCCTCCTTCCACCCGACGAGGGCTGCCTTGGGCTCTAAGAGCATCTGATTTGACGCCTCGCGCACGCCTCCCCTTCCACCCTTTCTTTCCTTCCTTTCTCCTGACCCCCATCTTTTTTTTTCCTTTTTTGCTTCCTTTAGCTTTATCAAATTTTCGTCTCTCTTCATTCTCTCGCGTTATTCGGGCAATTTTTCATCGTTTCTCATGATTCATCGTTTCGCTTATCGATCAGACCGTCAAATCCACTTTGGTCGTTTCGGTCAGTTGACTGGAATCTAATCGCCGATGCTTCAATACAGAATCATCTTAGAATTAAATTATTAAATTTTTATTCATGATTGAAAAATGATTCAATCGTGATTCTGAATCATTTGAATCACGTGGACAGCCCCT